GATTTAAAATGAGCAGTTAGATTTTCTGTAAAGACATTTATTAGGAGGTGACCTCCCCAAAACAATGCAGAAAAAATATGTCATATTAAAATAATAAATGTATGTTAAATTTAGAATGCACTAGTCTAGCTGTTTCAGTTTATATACATTTATCAAGGGTGACCAAACCTTTTCCCCAAAATGAAAATCTATCCGAGGGCTGTGGCCAAATGCAATAATATAATTCACGAAATACAAATACTTCTTAAGTACAGTCCTTTTATTTTAATGATTATATCCTGCTGCAGTGTGACATGATTAGTTTGTGTACAAACTAATAATGTATCATAATTTTATATTTTTATACTTCTCATTAAACCACAGTTAAATTCATTCTATCTAGGAGGCACAATTTACATTATTTATTTTTTTACAATAACAAGCTGGAATAAAAACAAGCAAAAATGAAATAAAAGTAACGACTTTCTACTTTTTGCCTTTTTTTAATGTAAGGAGTATAAAGTACAGATAATTGTGTGAAAATGTAAGAAGTAAAAGTAAAAAGTAGGTTGAAAAAYAATTACTCAAGTAAAGTACAGATACCCAAAAATTCTACTTAAGTACAGTAACAAAATATTTGTACTTAGTTACTTTACAACTCTGATTGTCACTTTCCCCACATCAGGACTATTTAGTGCTGCTTCCTCGGGAATACTACGAGGCTTCTCTGCTGCAGGAAGACATCACTCAGCCCTGCACATATCTGCACACTGCAAACAAGGATGCAAAGTAAAGTCGTTTCCGACTTAATGCATCAGTCTTTTTTTATTTTTTTACTTTTATAGACTACAATAGTCTGTTTTGTCTTTTATGCGTCTTGTAGCTGCCTGCTGTATAAGCACATTTCCATGGATGGCTTCAGCTCTGTCCTCGGCTCTCAGGGAAGACTCACCACGCGGAGTGGGCAGAGGAAGAGGAGGCAGGCTCGAGTACGGCGTCCCACCCCCGATCACCCCGACATGGCTGCTCTCAGCGGGAGACAGGTTCACAGACACGATTATATTAACTCGATCAGTTTTAAACTGAGCGCAAAACRTGTCCGATTTTCATGATGGTCCATGAAAAACACCTGTATTCTGTGTCTTGTAGTCACAACTGGAGCTCAGTCTGCACGTGCCYCATCCAGGCCTGTATGCTCTTGTTCTGGAGTACGCAAGCGAAGTGGAAAATATCCAGAACGTCAACATCCACATCAGCGGTCAGTCAGAAGGCCAGATCGTAGCCAGGACCAACATTTATAGCTGCGCTTTCAGGTCAGCTGCTTTTACCTCTTTTACGCATTTTCGATTATTTCTTTATTTTTTGCAGTTTTTTAAGAACATCGGCTCATTATAGGAAGTTAGAATGTTTTCAGCTGGTCTGTGTGCTAATCCATGCAGCACTTTGTGCCGGAGCGTGGCGGTGAGCGGCAGAAATCAAGTGGCGACGCTGCAGCTTTCACACAGGACGGAGATTATTCTGCACACCTCCACAGCATCACTCCTTCTGGTGAGGAGGAGGTTTCAGAAAATGTTGAACTTGTGTGTAGCAGCTTGATTTTTTTTTTTTCTAATGAAATTGACTCTCGGTGTAGTACAAAGTGTACGCGGTGCCAGCCAAAGATTTCTCTACCGAGTATGTGGAGCCGAAGGTGCTGTGTGTTTCCACTCATGGCCGCTTCACTGAAGACAGGTAAGTCCCCCAGCTCACTCTGGAAGCTTCTTACACACTTAGACTAAATAWGTTTAAATCGTTGGCTTATTTATTTCAATCAGACAAATACTTTATAACCATCTGGGTTACATACTGTACATTCAGGGGAAAATAAATATTTAATGCACCATAAAAGTCTTATTGTAATTGCAAATGTTTTGCTTTGTGCTTAACATAACCTGACTAGCTGGGAATGTCTGTGCAATCGCACAAACTTGTAAAGCATCAACCTTTTTGGCCCAACATCCATGAGTGAAGGCTGCAATTTACGATTGCCTGATTGGAGCTAATATCAGTGATTCACATCTGTTCTCCAGCTGCACGTGTTCCTCCAGTTATTTACCTGAAGCTGAACATTTTTTTGAAAGCCTCATGTCACTTCAAATTTACTCACTCAGAACCTAATCAGCAGTTTGTATGTCGGATTTCGCAGCTGTCATTGTGCAGCTCTGTGATCTGCTCTGTAACTCGACTTGAATGCACACAACAAAAAACAACAAAAAAGGGATTTGACTTGTTTTCAGAAATGGTTTTATGTTCATTTAATTGTTTTATTTGATTGTGTAACAATACAATCAACACTAGTATCATTGCACTGTAGTTCCAACATGGCTTCCCTWAACAACAACTTCTTCCTGTCGAATSTTTCTAGTCGATACTGCGTGCCGCGGCGCTTTGACAAGCCGTCTTCAGCCTGGCTTCTGTACGCGGCCCGTGATGGGCAGCTGTCGTCCATCGTAGCTGCTCAGCCACAGGGACAGAATGAAGACTGGAGGCAGAGACGGCAGTCTGGGCAGTTCTCCGTCCACGAGCCTCAAAGCGATGGGACTCTGCTTAAATTCCCGCAGGTATCGGTGTCAAAAACCACACTCTGCCCTTCCACATCTTGAGAAGTGCCATCTATTCTAAGCATAAAATCCCTTTTAGGCCTTATTTCATTTTTTTTCTTACTTCTTGATTTTTTTTTCTCAGACTGAGATCCGTTTCACTCCGGCCATCCCTCTCCCGGGCAGATATGTGGTTGTGGTCCATTATCGTCAGCCTGAACATATTTCCTTCCCGGTGGAAGTTCGAGTATCTGCAGGACGCGAGTGGAAGGGTGAGCAATGAAGGATGTTAGAGTTTTGAGTTGGAGTGGATGATTGGATATTTGAGTTTAKTCTGTTAGTGAGATCTTACTTATTACTTCTAAAATCAAAGAAAAACTGGACTTWTGCTTAAACACACTTCCCTATGTGTCTTATTTTGCTGCATATTTTCATTTAATGTTCTCCAACTTTAAAACTGTTTYCTGCTGCAGGTTCTGTAAATGCATCCTTCTGCCCTGCAGTCTCTGGATGTAAGGATGTTGTCATTGCTGATGGACGCATTGTCCTCGACTTGGACACAAATCCTTTACAGCTACCCACCATCTCTGTCACTGTGCCTCCTGGGAAGACTCTTATCTTGGTTAGTTACTGCCTGCCTGCATGTGTTGGTGTATCTYGTGAACAACTGGACACATTTTAATAAAACTTGCAGGAAAAAAAATCATTGGATCTACAACTGATTAACTTTTGGAATTTAAGATAACCTTAAAAACACAAAAWTGRCTGAAAATCAGTCAGTTTGACATATTTTGACTTCAAATTTTGTGTGCTAGTAGCCAAGACTGATTTCCAACACATATTCTGAAAGCAAACAAAAAGACAAGATCTTTGATTGAATTTTGCCATTTACTTTTTGAAGTAAAGTCTATCTGCAAGCTAAACATCTCATGAACCACTCAATAGGAGTTTATCATAGGATCTACCTCTCCAACTCATTAACTTTTGAAGTCACTTCAAGCGGTAAGCATCCCTTCAAGGAATGTAAGATGTTTAATTGTTTAGTGAAACTTATACCATACGAYGCTGTGAAGCTGGAGAATTGGAGGTGTTCATGTTTACAGCTTGGCATGTAGCAGTCCTCCCTCCTCAGGGTCATGCCTTATTCCACAAACCCAACAATGAAGGAACTGTATTCTACCTGGCAGCCTCACTCTGCTTTGAAAAACCTGAACTTCAGAGTTGTTTGAAGCRGGGGAAAGGTTAAACTCTGCCTGCATGTTGTTCGGCATGTTTTACTTTTCCAGCATCGACTCTTATCAATAAACAAAAACTGTAGTTTTTTCACTTTTAACATGCAAATGGATTCTTGTAGCTTTTTTTTTTATATTTCAATGTGGTTTGTTTAGGATCATATCATGTTGGTTCCTGATAGAAGCTACACTTTGGAGCTCCTGAAAGAAAAACCACTGGATAAATCTGCAGCCTTTTTAAAACAATGCACTGCAGAAGGATTCTATACTCAGTAAGTATCCAACACATAAAACACATCTATTTTCAATCCAGCTTTAAATTAACAGATTGAAATTTTGTTTTGTAGTTGAGGCAACATCTTTCTTCTTATTACTGTTACAAAAAACTGTGGAAATAGTGCCCTCTAKCTGTTGAGATCATGTATAAAACCTTCTCTCGTTTTGTCCTGCAAGGCCCAGACTCTCCTCCCAGTTTTGCAGAGACTCGGTCTTCTCCCTTGTAGCTGCTTACAATAATGGATCCCTGCCTTGTGACTGTGACAAGTCCGGTTCTACTGGGACCGTCTGCGATCCGATCGGGGGACAGTGTCCCTGCAGGCAGCACATCATCGGGCGGCAGTGCACAAAATGTGCCACAGGATTCTACGGATTTCCCTACTGCAAACGTGAGTGAATATTAAGGGCATGTACACTTTCACTACTGTTAAACCATCACTGCCTCTGATTTTCCTCCAGAATAAATAATTAAATAAATAAATAAAACGGGGGATGCTCTTGTTCTGCCTGCAGGGTGTGAATGTGGACGTCGGCTGTGCGACGAAGTGACAGGACGCTGCATCTGYCCCCCTCAGACGGTGAAGCCGACCTGTGAAGTGTGCCAGGAGCAGACGTTCAGCTACCACCCCCTGCTGGGCTGCGAGAACTGCGGCTGCTCTCCGAGCGGCATCGATCCGGAYGCCGGGCTTCAGTGTGACCGCACCACGGGACAGTGCAGGTGAGTCCAAACTTCAGATGAACGAAAAACACTTATTCAAACTAATTGTAGTGCAACATACTGTAAAAAAAGCAATTGTTCTGAAAAAAAAAATACGTACAAAAAAATAAAATAAAAAGAATCCTAAAAAATTAAAATAGATTTGATCCATTCTATCAAATTGARGATTAAGTCAAATTTAGTAATTCTTTATCTTTAATCTATATTTCGATACCTGGATCAKCCTGATATCATGAGCCGCTCCAGAGTTATGCCTTGATTTTTCTTCTTAACCAGGATAACCCATCGATAAATGATCTGAATCCTATTTTAAGTTATTCTAATGAGGCATTATTTAATTCATTTTAAAGAGTAAATCTCAAACAATTTTTGGATTTTAAAATTTACTCACTGGAAAGAAAAACAGCTTTGCTTGCTCACAGAGAAAATATCAAGGCATTTAGGGCTTTTCTGCCTAAAATCACATTTTTTGTTGCTACTGCTCAACAAAGTGCTTCAGAAAAACTTTTTTAATGGTTATATTTTAGATATTTCATTTAAATGACCTGTAGATAAGGTGTTTTCTTCATTACATTTTGACAAAATGCTGTTGTGATGGGTCACATTTACAGTAATTTCTTTGCTCTTCATGACTGTTTGACTTTGTGAAATAAAAAAATAAACAGAAAAAAATTAAGGTGACGGATAACTGGACCTTTGGGTTGATTTTGTCTCAGCAATTTGTGAAACTTTTACAAGAAGTTAAGCTATTTTCCGAACTTATTCTTTAAACCTGTGTACAGCAGAGCTTTAGGGATGCAAGCTTCCCCTCAGAACGCCCCCAGCCACAGGGTTTTTAGTCTCTACAATAGTCTCTGTAGTGAGGATTTTTACTAACAGTAATGTTTGTCTGCACGTTTTTTTTTTTCTGCAGCTGTAAGCCTCTTATTGAAGGCCGGCAGTGCGATCGCTGTGCTCCAGGTTATTATCGCTTCCCCAACTGTGTGCCTTGTGTCTGTAATGAAGGAGGAGTCACAGCTGAGGTGTGCCACCCTGACACAGGAAGGTGTCTCTGCAAGGTGAGTTCACTTCATCAAATAACTGACAGGAAAATGGCCCTTTTTTGCACTTCTTTTTTTTTTTGTTACTCCCTCAGTATTGCTGCTGTCATGTTTGCAGAGAAATGTTGCTGGCCTCAGGTGTGACACGTGTCGGGAAGGCTCTTTTTATTTTGACCCCTCCAACCCCCTCGGCTGCACCAGCTGCTTCTGCTTCGGAGCCACTGACCAGTGTCAGAGCTCCCGCAAGCGCAGAGGGAAGGTATGAATTTTTGTCACCGCACGTCTGTGAATATTGATTTAATAATATGTGGTTTGGAATATAATTTCCTCAAAGTGAATTATAAATGATTTCACAGGAAACACACTTTTATGCTAATAGTAAGAGGCCAGTCAGTGTTCTACTTTTAAAACAGCTGATCTCTAAAATGCGACGGGCTTGGTTCATACAGTGCACTCACTCCCAGATGTTGCCTGTTATTAGTTTGTGGAGATGCGAGGATGGCGTTTGGAAAGCCCCGACAAGGAGGAGGTTCCTTCTGTGGCGAACCCAGTCAGTAACACAGTGGTGGCAGATGTCCAGGAGCTCCCCCCTACTGTTCAAACGCTACACTGGGTGGCGCCACATTCCTACCTGGGAAACAGGGTGAGTGTGGGGTGGGGAAACCCTGTGAGAATGCCATAAATCCAGCGAAAAGAAAAAAAGAACAAACAAACAGTTTCAAGTCGTTTATTTCATTGCAAGAGCTTAAACGTGCAGAATGTACTGTGGAGACATGATCCAGTTTGTTGCATCGGACCATTTGTGGACTTGAAGGAAACATACATTTCTTAACGCKACCCTGTGAATTTATTTATAGAATTTACAGGCAAACATATATTTTACACACAAACTCTAACATTTAACCTATATTAATATAGCTTACAAGTTGAGTAAGTAAACAGCATGTTTGACAGCTATCATAAAAGCAGTGTTGTATGAAGTACCTCAAAGTGATACTTGAAGAAAAGTACAAGTGTCTCATCATAAAAATACTTTGGTAAAAGTTAGAGTCTTCTCTAAAAATATTACTTGAGTAAAAGTCTTAAAAGTATCTGATATTTTTTGTACCTAAGTATCAAAAGTAAATTTCTGACACAAAATGCAATTAAGTATTAAAAATAAAAGTACTGAGTAAAAGTGAGCAGTTAGATTTTCCAAAATGATGTTTATTGGGAGGTGACTTCTCCAAAAAAATATTTTTTCTAACGGCGTGCAGCTGTGATGGGTTGTGAACAAGCTAAAAGGGTGTCAGAATGTTTATATTTATACTTCTCATCCAACCACAGTTAAATTCACTCTATCCAGGAGACACAATTTATCAGGATAATATTCTTTTAAGTAATAACAACTTGGAATAAAATAGGAGTAACAAATTTCTACCTCTTACCTTTTTACAAAATGTAGTGAGTAGAAAGTACAGATAATTGTGTAAAAGCGTAATGAGTAAAAGTAAAAAACACGTTGACAAATAATTACTCAAGTAAAGTACAGATAAGCTAAATTTCTACTTAAGTACAGTAACAAAGTATTTGTACTTAATTACTTTACAACTCTGCATAAAAGTAGTGAACGGCAACAAACACTGTTTACTGTAAGAATATTACTATATTTGTCTAATGGACAGATTTAACTTACAACAGAGTGAAAATAAATACAAGTTATGCAGTTTGAACTCCTTTCTGGTGTCTGGTTAAAATATGTCCATGCATTTCATGCATTTTTAATATCCTTATATTTAATTTGGTAAAAAAGCATGAAGCATACTCTAAATTAAAATAAATAAATAAAATAAAAAGAACTTTAAAGACCTAACATTCATTGAAGGAATAAYTTCACCCACAACCTTTTATGTCAGAATCTTAGAATTAGATTATTTATGATGAGAAATGACCAAATGTAACTGAAAATAATATTATGCATATGTAATATGTGTTTTTAATCATTCTCAGCTACTACCACAACAATTATTGGGCTAATATTTGTAAAATTGACTCCTTGTTTTTTTTTCACTTTATTCAAATAAAACTAACATTTGATCATTCCCTGTTAGGTTTCATCGTATGGTGGTTTCCTCACATACCAGTCCAAATCTTTTGGGATTCCCACTGAAGGCATGGTTCTCATCGACAGAGCAGCTGACGTTGTGCTGACAGTGCGTAAAGCTACCTGTTTTTCATCCTACATGTTTTTTTTTATCCCTCACTGGCAGAACAGCAATTTATTCATCTTTGTTCATTATTTCACCCTTGTAGGGTCAGGATATGAGTCTGATCCACGTGGCCTCACATGTGCCACTTCCAGACAGGCTGTATGAGGGCAGAGTCCAGCTCCTGGAGGTAAACTCGAACTTCTTTATTGTTTTGTGAAACTAGTGAGCTTGAATGAATTTGAAACAACAGGATGTGTTTGTTGAAAGTTTAGATTTTAAACCAAGAAAGAGAGTGATGAAAAACTGGCAAAGGGGAAACTGGAGACTGTCTAAAGAATCAAACCAGACTTCATCCACAGTTACTTTTTCATGCTTGTGGTACACAGCAGGACAGGAATAAAAATCTACTAATATAAAGTGAATTACAGCGTTTGAATGTACATGTTTTATGTCTCTTAAAAAGAAAAGCCCCCTCTCTTATGTTTTCTTAGGGTTTGGCCTCAGATTTTCTTCTGTTTGCAGGGAAACTGGCGCCATGCTGGTACCAACAGGCCTGTTTCCAGAGAGGACCTCATGATGGTCCTGGCAGGTCTGGTGGGCCTGAGGATCAGAGGCCTGTACTTCACTAGGAGCCAGCGACTCAGCCTGGGGGAGGTGGGTCTGGAGGAGGCCACCAACACCGGGACTGGCAGTCCAGGAAACATCGTGGAGGTCTGCCGCTGCCCTCCTCAGTACACCGGAGATTCGTGTGAGGTCAGTTAGCCTCGCGCTTTGAAACCAGAGGAACTTATGAGTGAAATTTGTTGCAGATGCCGAACAGTTTAAACACTCAGGTGTTTCTTATTTAAACAATCACATGAAATTTTAACTCAGTATCTTTAAAACTGACTGAATTATAAGAATTTGTGTATTTTCTATGGCCAGTTATCTGTGAGCATTTAGAAGTGGAGTAAATGAATTTGTTATAGATGCAATTTTTATCTGTTGACAGTAGGTTTTTTTTGATTAGTCCAGTTTTATCAGTTAAGTTGACTCCAACCTAATAATTAAGATTTTAACAAATATTTTGTGCAATAGATTAGTGCTCAGAATATGTGTATATGTGTTGTGCGTTAGTTTTCTGCCACAAGAAAATAAATTCTGCACTGCAGCTGCAGGATGCTGAGGGGAAAGGAAAGTTCAAAAGTGACAATAAGAAAGTGTTACGATATTTATTCATGTTAGGATAAAAAGTTTTGTTTTTGCCTTTTTTATTATTGTTTTTGTATTTAGAAAAAAATTATTCTGTTCATGTTGAAACGTTCGAGTTGCCGTTGAACACGAAGACCTGCAGGCAAGGATTCCTGCGAGGCTGAAATCCTTTCTGTGTATTTTACAGCATCGATCCATTTGAGTGTTTGAATACAAAGTGTCTTAGCTACTACCAAACTAAATTTCAGATCAATATCTGAAATTTGGCATTTTTGTGTTTTGAAGATAATTTGGCTGTGGCAGCCATCTTGAATTGGCTTGACGTTGAATATTAATCAGCTGTTGATGTACATCGACTGATATTTATTCAGTGTTGTCCAGTGATTCTGGAGGCACCAGCAGAGACAAAGACATTACCATCCACCTTTTCCTTTTGGCTTCAAGCGATAATAAAAGGAAAACTAAAACATATAATTATGTGTCTTTTTAAAATCGATTCTAGCATAATTATTTCATGGAGATCTGAATATTTTCTAGAATAATAAAGGAATTTATTGCAACAAAAAGAACCTTTCCTCTTGTTAAACTATAAAAACAAACAAAAACAAAAAAAAATTGGAAAATACCATAGAAAAGGTGATAAAAAGCCAGTGTCTCCTTCAGCACGGAGAAGCTAGAATAAAAAGCAGGGTGGGGCATTTTGTTGACTGAAATGATAGTTCATCGTCTTGAGGAGCTGAGTGCACTCATCATTTTTGGGACTTGTCTGCACAGATCAGCACGCCCTTTTTTTCCAGAGGGAACGTTTTATTAGCCGAGCTACGTCTGTGGGACTCATTGGAAAATCTTCACTGCCCCACCCTCTACTGTGTTTAATTTTTTTGTCTTTTATTTCGTTAAATTTTCTTATTATTGTGCTTTTATATATATATATATATATATATATATCTTTTTTTCTTTTTTTGTTCTTATACTGTTTTTCTTAGACCTTGTAATGATTTTCCATCATAACAGCTCTGTCATCTATACTGTTGACTAGGAGAGAGGTCCGAACAAGAATTCCAATGTGTGTAAATTGCTAGTATGTGCACAAATGGCAAATAAAGAGCCGCAAGGTGGGATGTACGGCACAACCATGTAGACATGACATTATGGATTCTACAGCTATAATAACTAACATGGATGTAGCAACAAAGTACTGCAATATTCTTGCCGAGGAGATCAGCTTTTTTTATTTTTTATCCTGAGAAAGAAGTTGGCTTGATCCAGTGTTTTCAGAGTGCTCCTCAGGTCTATTTCTCTYGTTTTGCCCACAAAAGCCACATGAAAAGGGAAAACCAAGCAACCATAATTAAAGGGAAGTTTCTCATAAACAGCATATTTCATTAGATTTGTCCTTGTAGCTCTGTTGCCATAAATCTTCTTGCATACCTGTGTGTGTGTGTGTGTGTGTGTGTGTGTGTGTGTGTGTGTGTGTGTGTGTGTGTGTGTGTGTGTGT